TCTGTGTACCACGTGTGCCTTCGCTTGGCATACAGCTTCCTCCCTTTGGGAATTAACTACTGTACATGTTTATGTTGTATATATTCAGTCTTTTGGGTGCAACTCAAAATGAGACTCCTGATCACTGATAGTCACTAATGAGTCTGTGTATTTTAAGCAAAATTGGGTTGTTATCCCCAGAGAGCTGATCTAAGTCCAGTGTATTATTATTAAACATGCTAGTGCCCAAGGGCCCTGATTGGGAAAGGGCCCCAGGGTGCTGAGTGTTATGCACAGCACAGATAAGAGACAATCCCTGCTCCGGAGGATGTACAGCCTGAACCACACACACACTTGAAGGAGGGGAGGGGAGGGGAGGGAACGGGATGTCACATGCCATCAAATCCATGTGGTGTGGAATTGGCCCAGTGTTGTGAATTATGGGTTTGTTATTTGTTTTTCATCTGGGAGCAGATGAGGGGTGAGGCGTGGCAAGAATGGTGGCAGCAGAGGTGGGAGGGGATTAAAAGAATGGGAGTTAATAAAAACGAGAGAGTAGGAAAAGGACCAGTCACAGATCATCTGCCTGGTTGTGGTGAGCACCTGGGTGGGTGTGAACCTGAAGAAGGGTCTGGCTGTTGTTGAATGGCCTTATGGCAGAGGTGAGCCTGAAGAAGGGTCTGGCAGTAGCTGTAAGGCTTAGAGCAGGCAGATTTTTCCGTGCATAATGGTAGAAAGAGTGGAGGTGCATAAGGAAGAAGCTGATTGGTGGGAAGTAAAAAGGCTTGGAGCACTGGCACAAGCGAAGGCAGTAGCTGATGATATTATAGGTCACTAGAATTACCTATGCCAGCTAAAACCAGTTGTAAATGCAATATGAGAGAGTCCACAGAGGGGGCTGCACTGGTTTAAATTAAATGGGTTTTAAAAAAATATTTTACTTAAACTTGTGCAAATTGCTGTGTGCAGTGGAAGCCAACATCAGCTGGGTAGGGTGGGACTAAATTGTGAAGGGGCTTAAAGTTAAAGACACGAAGGCTGGGTTTGATGGGGGAGGTGAAGGCAGGGCCCATGGAGTATTTCAATGCACCTTCTTAAATCCATTTTCAATTTCAACTGGAGAAGTGATTCTTCACTTCCACTTCTAAAAGCTGTGCTATACTGTTGCTAGTATGGACAAACTGGAGGAATGGTCTGAAGTAAACAGGATGGAATTGAATAAGGACAAAGGCAAAGTACTCCACTTAGGAAGGAACAATCAGTTGCACAAATACAAAATGGGAAATGACTGCCTAGGAAGGAATACTGCAGAAAGGGATCTGGGGGTCATAGTGGATCAGGAGCTAAATATGCATCAACAGTGTAACACTAGACACAATCAACTCAGGGTTAAACAGGGATTGGGAATGGCTGAGCCATTACAAACATTGAATCTATCTCCTCTTGTAAGTACTCTCACACTTGCTTCTTATCAAACTGTCTGTACTGGGCTATCTTGATTATCACTTCAAAAGTTTTTTTTCTCTTACTTAATTGGCCTCTCAGAGTTGGTAAGACAACTCCCACCTGTTCATGCTCTCTGTATGTGTGTATATATATCTCCTCAATGTTTCACTCTATATGCATCCGAAGAAGTGGGTTGTAGCCCACGAAAGCTTATGCTCTAATAAATTTGTTAGTCTCTAAGGTGCCACAAGTACTCCTGTTCTTTTTGCGGATACAGACTAACACGGCTGCTACTCTGAAACCTGTCAGTGTAACACTGTTGCAAAAAAAGCAAACATCATTCTGGGGATGTATTAGTAGAAGTGTTGTAAGCAAGACACAAGAAGTAATTCTTCTGGTCTACTCCACACTGATTAGGCCTTAGCTGGAGTACTGTGTCCAGTTCTGGGCACCCGCATTTCAGGAAAGATGTGGACAAATTGGAGAAAGCCCAAAGAAGAGCAACAAAAATCATTAAAGGTCTAGAAAACATGACTGAAAAAAATGGGTTTGTTTAGTCTGGAGACGAGAAGACTGAGAGGGGACATGATAACAGTTTTCAGGTACATAAAAGGTTGTTACAAGGAGGAGGGAGAAAAAAGGATCTCCTTAAGAGAGGCTAGGACAAGAAGCAATGGGCTTAAATTGCCACAAGGGTGGTTTAGGTTGGACATTAGGAAAGCTTCCTAACAGTCAGGATGGTTAAGCATTGGAATAAATTGCCTAGGGATGGTTTGGAATCTCCATCGTTGGTGAGTTTTAAGAGCAGGTTAGATGAATGCCTAGATATCTAGATAATACTTAGTCCTGCCATGAGTGCAGGGGACTGGACTAGATGACCTCTCAAGGTCCCTTTCAATCCTACAATTCTATGATTGAATCTATGCAAAGGCTGAAGAGAAAACAATGGCTATTCCATTCCTAACCCTCACACCTCAAGCAGCCCTTGATATTCACACTGTAGGCCCTCATACAGCTCTGCCAATGTCTTTCAATCCTGATCCACAGTACCATCAGCTCAATTAAACCAAGACTGAGCTCCCTTCCCCTGACCTCTCAGTTCTGCACAAAACCTCACATCATTAGCCATTTCTGCTGGGACTGGAAAAATAGGGAGTAGGTAAGATTGAGGTGCACTGGCAAAGTGAGTTGGGAAGTGGACTAAGAGACAATGACAAGCATGCAATTCCTAAAAAAAATTATTCCTGTCCAAAGCCTGTGTTGGGAATTATTAAGTTCTTCAGTTCCTTCAGCTTGGAAAAGAGGAGACTAAGGGGGGATATGATAGAGGTATATAAAATCATGAGTGGTGTGGAGAAAGTGAATAAGGGAAAGTTATTTACTTGTTCCCATAATATAAGAACTAGGGGCCACCAAATGAAATTAATGGGCAGCAGGTTTAAAAGAAATAAAAGGAAGTTCTTCTTCACACAGTGCACAATCAACCTGTGGAACTCCTTGCCTGAGGAGGTTGTGAAGGCTAGGACTATAACAGGGTTTAAAAGAGAACTAAATAAATTCATGGAGGTTAAGTCCATTAATGACTATTAGCCAGGATGGGTAAGGAATGGTGTCCCTAGCCTCTGTTTGTCAGAGGGTGGAGATGGATGGCAGGAGAGAGATCACTTGATCATTACCTGTTAGGTTCACTCCCTCTGGGACACCTGGCCTTGGTCACTGGGTAGACAGGATACTGGGCTGGATGGACCTTTGATCTGACCCAGTATGATCATTCTTATGTTCTTATAGGGTTACAGTGAGATATCCGGTGACCCTACAGTGCTAGAAACATGAACTTTACACCACCAGAAAGGGAAATTCCCAGCTTCCTAATGGAACACCACCTTTTCTTCCAATCATAGCAGGACTGAGATACTGGACTTTAAAATTATACCATTTAAAGCTGTTTTTAGAGGCATTAATGGACTCTACAGAGTTAACTAGACCTGTGTGGAGGATGGAAGTTCCATTTTGTGAGGGATTTCGAGATTTCAAATCTGGCTATATGCCGAACTGGAACAAACACTGAATTTCTAAATTCTCAATGAAGAAAAATTCCATTTTGGCTCCATCACTTTATTTTGTTTCAACAAAATTGAAATGTTTTGTTTTTATTTCAATTTTTATTAAAAAAAATTTAGAAACAAAAAGTTATTTCAAAATGAAAACCAAAATGGTTCGTTCTGAGAACACTGAAACAAGCAGTTTTGACATTGTCCGAACTTTTCTCTGGTTTTCTTTTAAAATAAAATTCCGGTGACATCAACCTGAGTTCAGATGTGGTTAGATTTGGAGGAAGTTTCTCTGATCAATTTTAAAGTTAACTACAGCAGAGAGATATAGCCTGGAGTCATGGGTTGCAGGTGGAGGGAATGATTCACCATTGTGCTCCTCTTGTTTTGTACCAGGTTAGTCCATGGGTTTCAGTGAAGTGACATTGGTGTGAAACACAAATATTGCAGGGTGAATCAAACTCCGAATGTTGACACTAGTACGTTTGTAAAGCAGTTTTTCTTTAACATGTGGCACACAGAGGACATCATAGTGCGGGTGGGAAGATTTTATTGCACTTGTCTGAGCTGTACCACTTGCAGAGCAGACTGTAGTTGATAAAACCTCTCATGATCACATATTCTATCCTAAGAACTATGGAACACACTAAAACTGGATTTTTTTCTGTTGAAAAATTGTTTATCAGACCGGAACAATAACCCCCACAGAGACAGCACTTTGAGTTCTGTGACCAGGAGAAAGCATGGAACAGGGAGTGGTTAGTGGAGGAGGGTTCTGTTGTACTTGGTTCTCAGATACTGGATCCAAAGCACATGTGTGCTTGTAATGGATAACTTCTTTGAAAAAGGCACTACTGGGATGAAAAGGGGACATTCTCCTCCACCCCTACAATATCTTCAAGGGGCCCCAAATTATTGTCAGAAAGGCCAAAATATATACAGTTATCCAGTGTTAAAGCAGCAAATTGGAGAGTCCTCATCCTTCATATAAGTTATAAATCATAGCAAAATATTGACATGGCAGACAAACTTTATTTTTTTAAACTCTTAAAATCTAAGATTTTCTAGGGGCCTAACTATCCTGGAATCATAGAATATCAGGATTGGAAGGGACCTCAGGAGGTCATCTAGTCTAACCCCCTGCTCAAAGCAGGCCCAATCCCCAGACAGATTTTTACCCCAGTTCCCTAAATGGTCCCCTCAAAAATTGAACTCACAATCCTGGGTTTAGCAGGCCAATGTTCAAACCACTGAGCTATCCGTCCCCCACCTCCTGGAAGGTTGTTTATTAACTAGTGACATCCAGGGTCTCCAAATAGCCATTTGTTCCCCCAATAATGGGACCTTAGAACCCTGTTTTGGCAGGCATGTGATTCCTACATTAGGAGTATGTAAAAATATGATATGGCTTCTGCACCAGGAAAGCAGTTTGATTTATTAAACTTACATTACATTTTGTCTTCCATGACCAATCCAGGCATATCTTTTTTAAAGTATTTGTCCTAAATCAAGGTTTGGACTTACCACTGATGTTTATTGCTGGCAACACGATAGACATCTTGGGCCGTCTGGTCTTATTATGGGTGGTGGCAGGCAACAACAAGTGATCCTGGAAAATATGAAAAGATGTGTTACATTTATATTGAAGCACCGAGTTGTAGAAATGCCTCTCCATTCTGTGCCACTTGCATTCCAGGTAAACCTATTTATGAAGGTTTGGTGATTTCATATTGGTAACAACAGTCACAGCCATTGCCCATATTGTGTAACCAGAAAAAATCTCTATCACATATGGCAACATCTGAAAGCACCTTAATCCTCATGTGGAAGGGGATGGAACTACTCTTAGGCCCCTGCTCAGTCAGTCAGATTTAAGCATGTGGTACTTTCAGGGCCGGTGCTACCATTAAGGCAAACTAGGCGGTTGCCTAGGGCGCCAAGATTTGGGGGCGCCAAAAAGC